AACGAAAGAAAATGTTTCGCGCAGCGCCATCCAGGCGGGGCTGATTCGCAGACGCCAGCCAGAAAACCGCGCCTGCGCAGTGAAGGTTTTCAAGACCAACGGGGGAAGAGCGGAGCGGGGCACGTGGCGGCAAAAACCATAGAGATGGGAGGCGAGGTGGAATGAAACCCTAGAAGGAGTCCCTGACTCAACTGAATCCGTTTCTCCCCGGCTTTAAAGCCCAACGACAAAGATCCGTGTACTTGCTCCAGCTACTCCCCTGGAAGGCATCGCTGGGCGGGCCCATCCACCCGCTCTAGAGCGGCGCTCTCCTGCGCGTCCTCCGGCCCCCTCCGCGCTTCCGGCTAGCCCACCAATAAAACGACGGAGGGACCGGAAGGGGCGGGGTTTTGCGCGGGCAACGCCCCTCCCGGAACCTGCTGTCACGGCCGCCGTGCGCCGCTCTCGATCGAGTCGCCGCCGTCATGGCCAGCCAGTCGCAGGGCATCCAGCAGCTGCTGCAGGCCGAGAAGCGCGCCGCCGAGAAGGTGGCCGAGGCTCGCAAGCGTGAGTAGCCTGCGGAGGGGTGAAGCGGAGCGCCTTCCGAGAGGCTTAGACCACACCTCCCATCCTCCCCAGCTCTTAGGGGAGCGGAGGCCCAGCGCCACCACATGTCCCATTATCCTGCCTGGGAATGGCCGTCCGTAGCCTCCCCAGAGGTCTGGCGCTGCCTTTTCGGTCCCCCTGCGAGGAGATGGGGTGGGGGGGTTAGACTGCACCTCCCATCGTCCCCAGCTCTTGGGGAAGGGGAGGCCCAGCGCCACCACACGTCCCATCATCCTGCCTGGCCGTCCATAGCCGCCCCAGAGGTCTTCCATCCCCCTGCGAGGGAGCTGGGATGGGGTGGGGGGGTTGGACTACACCTCCCATCCTCCCCAGCGCGCAGGGCAGTGCCAGGCCCCTGGGACGGTCCCTTTGGGCTGCCTTGCCCCAAGCGGGGTCCAAAAGAGGGGCTGCATAGATGGATCCGTGACTTTCGCTGCCCCGCTTTTTACGTGTCTGGGGTTTAATTGGGTTATTAATGGATTTGGGGGTTTGCCGTGGGTTTGGCGCTTGGCTCCTTGGCTGCGTTCTTTGCTTGCTTTTGATCAGGGGAGCTGCCCGGAGCCCCACGCCCAGGAGACGGGCGGCTCTGCACGTTGACCGAATGAATTTCGGCCTCCGAGCGATTCTGTTACTACCGAGTTTGAGGTACACTGTTCAGATGTGGCGCTACATGGGGGTGACAGGAGGAACTTGCCCCAAACTGGCTTTTCTCACAGAGGAAAACAGGCTGGGGGAGTGACGGGGCTCGCCATCGACTCATCTGGAGGGTGCCTCTTTCGGGGAAGTCCCTAAGAAAGTCTATTTCTTCGTTAACTTTATCCGGCTGCCATGGGCAGCTTGTAATGAAAACCAGTAAGCAAAACGATAAGTAACAGAAATAGCCGCCGAGAAGCCAACCCCACCACGAGGCTAATCCTCACCCCATGGACCATAAGCAAGAAACGGGCTCACCCACACGTTTCCTCCTTCCTTTCACATGTTTCTAGTTTGTCGTTACCACGTTTGAAAGGTTTTAAGAGCTCCTTTCGCTGGGGAAACTCCCCTGGCGTGGCTGTTGCCATTGCTGTAAAATAGCCTTCTTCCCGTGTGATTTCTCCTCTAAAGGCTTTCCTGCAAACCCCCTTAACGCTGGTTGAGCTCTGCGGAGTTTGAAGCCCAGCCTGTCCAGAGGAAAGGTTGCTGGGGTATATTGAGTATTTTGATCGAAACCAAAGTCTTGAAAGATCTCCCCGACCTGTTGCCTACTAGAGATCTTGGACTGCATTATTCATTATTGAGGGGACTTCAGTGCAAGGAAATTGGGAGTCTGAGACACGTCCTGGATTCTGTTTGAAAATAAATCTGCTCTCTTCTGGATTCTGTTGCGTAACTTGCTTGTGTAAAACCGGTTTTAGTTTGCAGACTTCCTGCGGGCTGCATAGTGTCAGTAGCGTACAGATAGTCCCCCAAGACCTACAGTGCATCATTTTAGCTTGATTAAAGCTGGATTGTGAAGGTTGTGGAGAGTTGGTGTATTTTTAAGCACCTTACCCTGATGTCGGTATTGGGGATTCAGCTTATCTAAAACTGCGGTTTTTTAAATTGTATTTTCAGTGTCCTCTGTTTCTATGCCTTTTTAATACAGCAGTCTCTAAGATCTTCACCTGAAGTGACTTCAAGAAAGGAACTTACTCTGTAAGAACAATGTTCTTACTCTGCTAAGAACAACGGAGCCATATCATGTGCTGGAAATAATGCATTACGAGGAAAATGTCTGACTAATGTGCATGTTCATAAATCCCTAGTTCTGATTAAGAAACTACCTAGAGTCAGCTATGAGTGTTCACAAACTGAGTGGTCTCCACAAATCACACCAGGCTCAGTGTTTCAAGTTCTGTGGCCTAACTTTTCTGGAAAAAACCGACTTCAATATTTACATGATGAATTTTGACCTGACTCCAGTTAGTATCCTGGAATTGGTTTTCTGGGCCAATAGTAATTCCTATACTGTCTTCGGAGATTTATCCCACATAACACTTCTTACGCTGCATGTTATAGCAATCCTACCTTGCTTGTGCCAAGTGGGTAACACAAACAGATATTATGAGCTCCTGGTGGTACCTGTAAGCATAGTGCCAAGTATCTGGATTATGGTAATAGTCTCCTTGAAGTCCGGCTCAACTTTACTTTATAAACACATCCATGTTGTTCTCTTTGCCACCACCTTCCTTTCAGTTTCTCAGCCTGGTCCACAGCCTTAGTAGCCTTCCATCCCATTTAAAAAGATGGTGTACTTTGCTGCTCTGAGAACTATATGTGGGATGCATATAGCTGCAAGATGGTTTCTTTGTGGACCTTGGCTTGCAATTGCACATTTTTAAGGGTGGTTTTTCATGAGCTGCTTGGGCTGGGTGCTCTGTCCATCCAACACATGAAAAGAGGAGCTGTGTTTCCTATTTAAGGGCTCCGTGATTGACCTTTTAGAAGGCCCATTAATGATTCCAGTCTGGGTTACGTCTAGAGTATGATGTACTGTGTGAAATCTCACAACAGCCGTTTGGTATTTGAACATTTTGTGTTTTCTGCTTTCAAAACTAGGGAAGAATCGGCGACTAAAGCAGGCGAAAGAAGAAGCTCAGGCTGAGATTGAACAGTATCGCCTGCAGAGGGAGAAAGACTTTAAAGCAAAAGAAGCCGCGGTGTGTTAAATTCTATGCTGGCTAATCTCTCTGCCTTCCTGTCTCTTTCTGTACCAGAATGGGGTTAGGGTTTGGGTTAGCTAGAGGATCTTCATGAAAACAAGGACATTCTACCAACTGCTCAATAACTCTATGAAAAAATGTATGGTAAATCTGGATTGGTCAGGCAAGGTTGAGAATTTGCTTGATGTTGACACATCATTTCTACTGCAGTTGCCAGAAAGGGAAGTTGGTCTTGTGTTTGGTCACCTGACCTCTTCCTTTTGAACAGACAGAAACCCAGTCAGGGATCTTCAGTGCTAATTTGGCTTCGGTCGTTTGGGCAAGCCGGGGAGAAATCATCATGACGTGACTGGGTTGAAAAAAGCAGCAAAGCCCAGATGGTTTGTGCTGGCTGAAACTCTGCTGGGCTGTGTCACGCTGAGGCATTCAAGGTTCTTGGAGGTGCGAAACTTACTTTTTTAAACAGGCCCCTTTGTTTTTGTCTCCATTTATCTCAGGCGCTCGGCTCCCATGGCATTTCTACCACTGAGGTGGAACAGGGAACCCAGGAGAAGATGGCCATTCTTCAGGATAACTTCCAGAAGAACCGGGAGGAAGTGCTGAACAGCTTGCTAAATTTGGTCTTTGACGTCAAACCTGAAATCCATTCGAACTACCGCATCAATGGATAGATGAACATTTTGTCTTTCAGGAAGTATTAAGCAATACCAGCTGTAGCTGCAACCCTTTTATAAACGTCCATAACTTATTTCCAAGAGGTGTAGATAATCTCTTTCTTTTCTTTTTTTCCCCTTTTTCGTAAAAGCATCTTGTCTCCCCCTTTTGTAGCATTTCTGAAGTTTCTATATAGGCTGGCTCTGTGTCCCAAAAGTGCATTATAATATAGGAGTGTAGTGTAGAAGGTTATTGTGCTGAGTGTTAAAGGATCACTTTGGCCCCAAGAAGTATTTGAAAGTCAGAAAAGATATGAAGTGCCACACTATTTTCTGTATCGCTCTTAAATTGTAAACTCTATGAATTAAGTACTCTGAAAAAAAATCTGTGTCTTGCCTTCACTCAGAGTAAAAAACAGGAATGTTGTTTATAGAGTTGTGAACTGAATAGTATGTGTCTGAAAATGTTTAAGTTTTATTTAAACAATAACTGTACCCTGTGTATTCTCCTGTTGAACTTGAACAAGCCGCTGTCTTTAAGGTGCTTGAAGAAAAGTAAAGAACTGATCTGAGTTGCAAAGAAATTAAAACAATTTTTCCTCCTTTTCCCCTTGCTCAGAGACTTTGATTTATGAAACATGAACATTGCTGGCTTCAACAGGATTTGAGCCCTGTTCCGTTTTGTTGGGGTAGTAGCAAAGAAGCTCTTGATAACTTTTGGAAGATGCACTGGGTGCAAAGGGGGTAAAGCTCTGATGTATATAATGTCTGTAATTTATCAACCATTCCACCTGAAATCTTAAAAATAGGGATAGAGTGCACTACAAATACTGATAGTGAGACAGTCTTAGCTTAAAAAAGGGGAGGTGAAGAAGAAAAAAACATTGGTACTTTTTCTTAAAGTTACTATTTTTATGACCAGCTCAACTTTGGAGTTCTTGGGGTTCTCTGAGCTTGGTTCTTTTCTTGCAAACGTTTCATTACCCGGCTAGGTCACATCTTCAGTGCTAAAATGGTCTGGGGTTTACTCTCTATTCCACAGTTCAACCCTGAGCTACACATATTCACCTCTATCAGCAGCTCAACCTTTTCCCCCCTGTGTTAGTTTTGACCAGTTCAGCTGGAAAAGATTTTGCTTCCAAAGAAAAAGGAAATGTCATTGAAAATGTCATGGGCATGGTGAATACCGGTATCCATGCCTTGAATCAGTGCCCTGGAGCATCCAACAGCTCCCGGCAGATTCTCCCTGAATCATTATGGGCTTTGCCAGAACATGGTGGTCCACCCATGCTGTGGTGTAGCCAAGGAGTTCAGCTGTAGTTTGAGAGTGGGTGAATGTGCACAAGCTAATAAGAGCAAGCTGTGTGTGCAATGCTGCTGGGAGTTCTGAAGGGGTGCCATGCATTTGAGCAGTCTTGCAACATTCTGGCTGCTCTGATCTATTTATAAACGAACTCAAAGATTACACCAGACGTCCTAAGCCTCTATGACCTCCTTTCATCAGAAGCCAAATCCATAAGTGCTCTGCTTCCCTAGAATATGTGATTCTCAGAACAGAACGAGTGAAATGATATAAATCCCGCACTCTTGTTTCTTGGTACTCTATATCTCTGATATTAATTGGGAGCGCTTTAAGAAATAGCTTAGTCAGATGTTTGCAAAACTGACATACTGTGTAAAAGCTTCCTTGGCCAGCAGCTTATGAAGTCTGGCGGCCTTCTGCTTGCAACTGGTGAAGCGTAGGGGTTTAAGGAAGGAAAGAATAGGAGACCTTAAAAACTTTTAGGGAGAGAAAGGTAACAAGGTGCTTATTAAATCTTATTCTTTTGACTGATGCTATCTGAGTTGCCATGCAGGTTTGTCATCTTGAGAAAATAATTAAAAGGATTTTAAGCTATATTCTGTTGCCTCAGTGGGTGAGTGGAGAGCAAGAGATGGTTCAATATCACAGCTACATTTCAGGCCTGCAGAGCTGATTGCATTAAAAAAGAAAAGAAAGGGTTCTCCCCACTCATCCCTTTCTCTTGCATTGTCTTAATCGCAAGGAAATGTAGCTGCTTTTTCTCTTTCACCAACATTTAAGCAGATGAGAATATAGGAAAACCAGGAGTGCAATTTTCATCAGCGCAAGACCCTGTACGTGTACCTGATTTCAGCACAGGTTTTCAAAACTCTTTAGTTTCGTTCTGGGGATCGCCAGTGCAGTCTGGTCTTTTGAGGATTTCTAGATTAGGAAAGGCGAAGTAGGTTCTCCTCTGCTTTTTTCAAGGTCTCCAAAGAAATTTGCACTCCGAATCCCATTCTGCCATTGAACCTAGGAAAAGCAGAACAGGAAGGGGGGCAATGCCAACGTAGGGGCCAAGTTATACATTCAAGTGATCGTAGTGGCTTTTTAGGGTTTCTTTCCCTCCTGCCAAGTGACCTGTTTTTGTGTTGTTGAAGAGGTGCAGTGAGCTCCTCTACTTGCTTAAGAACCTTAAATGCCCCCTTTGCTGGACCGGATCAAAGACCCGTCAAATCCAACACTTTCTTTCCCACCATATTCTTTGGGGAAGACCGAATGCAAGGACTAACACAGCAGCTCACTCAGAACTGGCTGAGGGTCATGCTGTCAACCCCAGGGTGCAGGCAAAGGTTTCCAAACAGCTTGCAGGATGCAAACAATTATTCCCCTCTGGCTGAGCGGGAATATTAGAACATAAAAAGAACTCCACTGGATCATATCAAAGGTTGGCCTACTGCACTGTGCTGTTTCCCGGGATGCCAAGATATTTTGGGAAAGACAGAAGGAAGAGCATCAGGGCAATGGCACCCTCTCACACATGTTCTCCAGGCAGGTGGTAAACTATTTTGAATTCTGGAAGTAAAATGAGGACAGCCTAAGCCATTCATAGCCTCCTCTTTTGTTTCTTGAAGCTGGCAGTTGCAATTCAGTCATGCTCTTCTGTTTGAAACGGTGAGCCCAGTGTGTCGGGGGCTATGGCTGCTGCGCTTAACAAGACGTTTTGGGTCTGCACACTTGTACTCCTTTCTGGAGGAGAGAAGTTCAATCTGGATGTCAGCTGTGGGTGCTTGATATGTTTTGAACAGAGCTGATAGCTTGCCAAAAGAATAATTCTAGCTAGTCCAAGCAGGGAAGGACTCTGCCAGCAAGTGTTAACAGATTCATTTCCAAAGATCCAGGGATGAGTAGTGTGGCTTACAGCAGTACCCCACCCACAAGAGGCCTCTAGAAAACCCCCAAAACAGTACGAACAGAAGAAACGTTTAAAAATAAAACTGACAGGAGGGAGCTCCGAAAGACAGTGGGTATGCAATGCTGATGAACTATTTCATGCGTGGCAGGTCAGGAAGTCACTCTGGCCTGATGGAAAGCAAGTGTCTGTCTAAAGTCTGTCACTTTAGTTTGAAAAAACATGCAGTATCACAATGGGCTATGGGTATTCACAATATTCACAATGCACATTGTTTTTTGGGCCGTTCTGGGTGGCTGGTGAGCCAGGAAAAAAGCATGTGGGTGCAGGATGCAAAAGACTTCCAATTCCATTTAATTTAAATATAGCTAGATTCAAATGAAGTACAGTCGATACAACCACTTCTAAGGCACTGATTTCTCCTCTCTGCTACGTTAAACATAGTAAGGAAGGTCTATGGAGGCTGAAGCCAAGGATTTCTCAGGGGAAAGATTCACCTGCGTCTCTGGAACATCCAGTTTGGTGACGATCATGTGGTTGGACATACATTGTGTTCATCACAGGTGGATCGTTGCTGTGATGTTCACAAGTGATTTTTGGAGAAGATCAAAGCAGAGGAGCTGGGCAGGACATCCTCCCCGCACGCCTGTAGTCGGGCGTGTTGGAAGTCTTGAGTCTAGCTGGGATTGCCAACTTCATTTCCAGCCTGTTCTCATCAGTGCTGCATTTATGCAGAAGATAGCCAGCCAACCAGACACATGACTGCATTTTGCAATTGCTGGAATTGCAAAAAAAAAAAAAAAAAAGAGAGAGAGAGAGAGAGAGAGGGGCAGAACAAGAAGAAAAGTATTGCAGTTTGCCATCCAGAGCTGCTTTTAACGAATTTCATTGAAGCTGGTACGTTCACTTCCTCCAAATATATCCTCTGTGTGTGTGTGAGAGAGAGAGAGAGAGAGAGAGAGAGAGCTCTTCTGTAGAAAGAAAACATGCTACGCTTCAGCTTTGTGTGCTCCTGAAAAAGGCAGTGGGGATTTGTAATGGAATGCCTTCAAGAAGCATAAGGAGGCTTGTAAGTCCTTTTCCTTCTACATACCCAACCCTAAGTTATTAATTTTATTGATTCTTTAGAATTGCTGCTGGTTAGAAAATTGGCTCACGCACTAGAGATATGGATTGCTTTAATAACGAAAGGGATTCCCCCCCGCCCCTTGCCCTTTGCTTCCAGTATCTGTTTGTTCTAGAGGTCAGGGCACGCTTTCCAGGACCTCACATTAACTCTAGCTGAGTAATGGGGCAGGACAAATTCAGAACTTACAAGAGCAGGCTGGGAATGCTAGGCTGGAATTTTAAAAGGTCCTTTTGTGATCCACCAGAACGAGAGGCGGAAGCCCCCCTCTCCAGAATGGACAGGAGGGAGTCCCTGGTTCCCAGCAGCATGGTCTCAGCATCTTTTGACATCTTCGAAACAAGATCAGCTGCCATGTAAAGATCTCTTCTCCCACCCTGTAAGACATTAAATCCAGAGTTGAAATGTTTCCTGAAGGCACCATGGAGAAGAATACAAGAATAGCTTTTGGGAGTCCAGATGTTAGCAACCACTCTGAGCAGCTAGCTCCAGTCCGTGTGGCCAGAAATGAAGGATGCTGGGAGTTGTAGTCCTACAGGACAAGAATGGGCCCATCCTGAGTTTGGGAGCTTGCCATTGTGCATAGTTTCACAATGCTTTACGTTGGCTTACAGACATTGTAGCTTCTAAACTCCATTGTACAGGAAGAATAAGCTATCCGGGTTCCACAGCTGTTCCTATGCACTAAGGGTCTGCAAAGCTCTGCCTTTGACAGATCATCTGCTGGGTGGCATTCCTGCTCTAAAAGCCACCCTTTTGAAACTTCAATTTTACAGGGGTCTTTTTTTCTATGATGGTGTAAGTCTTGGGTATCCTTCACATTTCAATTCCACTTTAAATGCTCTACAAGGCTTCTTGTTGACTCTGGGAAGTCCATAAAAACAAAACAGCATGACTAGGTGAAATGTGTATGGATATATATGCAAGCATAGACACCAGAATTCGTGCCTCTTTTTTGTAACAATGGATTCACCTTCTTTTCACAGCCTGACATTAAGGCACATTATGGGGGAAAGGTTGGCCTGAGTAATCTTAAAACATGAGTCATGAGAAGCAAACGGTATCCTTCATTCTTGACTGGAACTGATAGGACCCAAGAGTTTTGCAACTGTGTTGAATCCTTGATAGGACAAAACAGTTTTGCAACTATGGTGAATCCTCAGGCACATTGGAAGTAAAGCAGTGACCAATGTAGTTAACTCCCATTTGATGGATGCTTCCTGCATTCTTTTAAAAAATCCCTATAATATTCTGGAAATCCATATTTTGTCCACATTTGTTAGAAATATTAGCCTGAAGCTTTGACGACACTGGAAACAGGTCAATTACCTTTGGATTCCCAGGTGGTATCATGTAAATATTAGATGCAAGGGAGCTACAATGGAAGAGGGCAATTCCTATTCTGTCTTTGTGGGGTTTTTGGGTGCCCTCATGGACCATTTTGAGACACAGAACAGGAAGGCTCTATTTAGATTCTTTTATTAATTCTGGTAGCTTAGTGTTTGTACACTTAGATGTGTTGGAAAAAGCTAACGTTAATAAAAGACCTGGCAGAGTTGGAAAGAATTTTTATAACCCAGCTTCTGAAAGCAGAACAGAAGAAACCACAGCTGTGGAAAAGCTTTGGATTTTTCCAGGGTTGGTTTGTAGGACCTGTTCTGCATAGATCAGAGGTGCCCAGCCCCACCCAGATTGCTTGTGAGAACATAGGAATTGCTTCAGGGAATGACTCAATTGAGTTATGAGAGAAAGAAAGAATGGGAGCACGCTGGAAGAGGTCCAGGATGGAACTCCCCAAAAGACCTTGCTGGACTTCTGAGTACCATCTGATGACCTTTTGATCTTTACCTTCAATTGTCTATCTTCTCTTGGACTCTACATGGAGGAAATGACATGATAAAATGCTTTATTTCTCTCCCACTAAGGATATTCAAGGAGGAAAGACAGACATTGACAGCTGAAGTTCTTGTTGTATGAATTACACAGTAGGACATCTATTCAACATGATTTGTTGCAGAAACCAAGTCACAGAAAGTGAAGAGGAAGGACTACCGTTCAGCATCACTTACTGTTGGAATCAAGGAGAGGACCACTCCGATTTCTGGAGGAATGGTAAAATAAGCCATCGGGCACAGTTGGTGACCAGTAACAGGAAACTTGTAGCAATAATAATTTTGACCCCTATTTGGCTTTTCTTTTAATAATTTAACAATATATTTTAATGAAGAGCAGTTTTAGTGCCTTATGAGCAGAAAGATTAAATGAAAATCATTATCATCTTAAGAGCTTGTGTTAAGATAAGGATGGAAATATTCATATTATCGTGATTAGATCCTCTGTGATTACTTTCTTATGTGCAATTTTATGTGTTTATCTGACATTTCATGCTTTCGTGAGTTCTCTGTGATATCAGCAGACTATCAATGTCAATATTATGGAGTGTATGGACAAAATCTCCTGTTTTGAAAAAACAGATCTTAGACAGCAGAGCTACAAGAAATGATTGTCAGAAACTTTGCAGTCAGATGGCTCTTTCCCAGCTTTCTTAAATAGACCCCCTCCAGTTGTTTTGGCATACGATGACAGGTGTTTAGGGATGATAAGCCATCCGAAATATTCTTGAGAAACCGGTGTTGGGGAGGGGGGACTGGGGCAGATTATGTTGATCCAGAAGGGCTAACTCATAGCACATTTCAAGCCATCGTAAGGGCGAAAGGTTTGGCAGATGGGATTTTTTAATTTGGCTTTCTCAGAAATCAAGAGGCAGTGCACAGAGAATTGCCAGCTTGAAAACCCAGCCTGTACAGCTGTTGTATGATGGGGATATGGAAGACTGAAAAGCACCAGAACTCACTGCCACGGCAGACAGAGCGGGCCTGGGTAGACTCTTGGTCTGACTCTACACATAAGACATCAAAATATTCAATAAAGTTGGACTCCGGCAGCACCTCTCTTTCAGGAAATCCATTTCTATGAAAACAGTACACCGTTCGACCGCATTGATTAAGCTAGGAAAGGCTTAATGGTAATAGTCATTGGCTGAGTTAGGTAGCTAAAATGAGGTGGGGGAGTTTGTAGCTCATTGTGTTGTGGGAATTCAGCCACTGTCATAGCAGGTTGTGTAAACCTGGTCATCGTGTTAAGCTAGAATCTGGCTGTGGTCTAGCTAGCGTGTGTCATGCGAACACAGGAACGGGGCTTTCTAGATAATACTGGGCTAAACCCTTGAATGGTTTACTTTGAAACAGGCTACTTCCAAGCCTTTTGTTAAATCAGCCACAAGGACTAGAATCTTAGTTCTTTTAGAACAAGGGCCAAGGCTAGCATATTCTTGTCAAGGAGAAGATCCCATCTCAACCCACGGCATTGCTAGGCTGTATAAAAATTATACGTAAATGTGTCAAATTGTTCCAGACAAGATGTTGTTTTTTATCTAGCGATTTCAGTGTCAGAGTCAATGCAACCTGACAGACAAGTGGATATTTTTTTAAAAAATATATATATTTGTGTATTCTTGCACTGTACTCAGCTTAAACAGATATAAGTAAGTAGATCCTTGATCTGAGATATTTTCCGGAGACTTACCGGTGCGCACAGTACTGTACGTGCTTTATTGCAACATGTTAACCAAGTTTCCCAACAGCGTGACTTAATGAACTACATTAAGCTTACTCCCTATCATTCTGAATAGGTGGATGTTCTGTCTTCCAAATTTTATCTATTAATCCTCTTTTTCAAATTTGTCATGCTGAAAAGGCATCTGGAATCCTGATCTTAATAGATGCTGGCTTTCACCTGAGACACAGGAGTGGGTAATTGGGAGTGCCAGTGCTTGTGAAGAAATTTGAAGTTATGCTTCTGTCTGGAGCACAGGATACAGGGTTGCCCATCACACTAAGCCATGGCTTACTTGATAAGCCAGAATTACCTTGATGAATATATTGCACTAAGCCAAAAGGTGGTGTGCTTGGGTTTTGTCTTAGTAGGTTGTGTGAACCCAGGTGTCATGCTTTCTAAGCCATGGTTTATGGCTTACTGTGGATTGTGGAATTGGTTGACTGTAGTTTAACAGGCCAGGTTTCAACAGTTCATTTTCCAAAGGGTTGCATTGCAGACCTCCTAAATGGACAAGTTCTTATGGTGCTGACGGCTCACAAGCCTTGTGGATCTCCTCCTTTCAACATGAATTTTTGGGAAGACAAACTGAAGACTTTGGGAATAGAGGTGAGGCTCTCGATCTTGTTGAAACCCGCAGAGCAAAAGCGGTGCTTTTAATAGATTCCTGTTAGAGGCAATGCCATGTATTTATCTCCTGCATGCATGTACCTACATGTGTTGTTGTATGTAGGAGAAAGTACGTATATAAATAGTATACATAGGTGTTAACAGTTTGGGATCCACCAACTCCCAGTGAACAGTTACACATATATAAAAGCAAAATCTGCTTCAAACTAAGCTTGAATTGCTGATGACTCCATGCATTCTTCTTGTCAGCAATGAGAGTGTAGTTTTTCAACCCTCTCTCTCATCCAACTGACAGTTGTGTAACATACTGGGTGTTTCTGCTCAAGTATTAACCAGTTCTACTCCTGCTTAGCTTTTTTGATCAGCCAAGTTTGGTTAGATGCTGCCACCTAGCTAGGCCCTTTTTAATAGTCTGCAGTGAAAGAATTAACTCCAGTTAATCTTACTCCTAGTTTAAGCTTTGAATCATTGGATCAAGTCGCTGGAAAGGATCTTGGTGGCCATCTTGTTCATGTCTCTTCTGAATGTAGTGACAGACCCACCGATGGATAGTTGCTCGGCCTATGTTTAAATGACTCCAGGGAAGAGAAACTCACCATCACCTGGAGCTGCCTCTTCTGCTATTAAGCAGTTCTTCTCCCAAGTACATTCCCCCTGATGTTTAGCCCAAATCTCCTTTGCCAGTTCCACACGTGAGTCTGGTGTTGTGTGGTTATCCCAAACAGGTGACCGCTGAGCAATGGGAAACTTTGATTCAACAAGCCGTGCTGGAGCCAGAAATGAGAACCTACATATCGTATAACTCCAGAGGGCTAAGGACAGCCCTTGCTGCAGTAAGAGTCCCATATAACAAAGGGGGTAATTGGGGTGTGCGATGTTCTGTTGGTGACACAGGGTTATATGGCATGGGTTACGACCTTACCAAGAAGGGGGTTGAAGTTATGAAAAACCTCATATATGGGGACATGACATAATGTAACATCAGTATCTCTCTCTTCTGAGAGCTTAAGAGAAGGTGGACTGTATACCTCAGTGATTCTCAAGCATCTTGCTCTCAGGACCCCTTTACATTCTTCAAAACGATTGAGAACCCCAAAGAGCTTTGCTTCGTGTGGGCTACATCTATTGATAATGACTGCATTAGAAATGACAGCTGGGACATTTTGTAATATTTCTTTATTTGACTTTCTGGACCCCCTGCAAAGATCTCAGCGGTCCCCAGACCATGCTTTAAGAACCGCTGGTATACACCATTCTGATAGATCCCTTTCTGCCGTGATGCTAAGCACCAGAACTAATGTACTGTATATAGTTATCTAAAATGCAACAGTCCATGAGTTCAATTCCTGTTAGAGGGTTTGAACGCTGTAGAAAAGATCTGGCTATGTATGTCTAAGGTGTCCCCATAAGGAGGAAGCTGGTTATGGACTACCTCCTGGCGGTCAATATATTGGAAATACCACACAGGACCACATCCAAATATCTCTACCATGAGAATTTAAAGAAAGGTGGACTGCGTATATGGTTCTGATAGACCTTATCAAGGAAATTGATCAAGTGGGGCAAAGGTCTCTGAAGCTTGCTTTCCAAACCTCTGGAAAGACAGACTAGGTGGCAGTTAGGTCCCCCAAATTAGACCTACTACATAGCATTTCAGTGAGAAGGAATCTTTCAATCTCCCTGTGAGATTCCCCAGCCGCTCAAATGCCTAGTTCTCCTTGGACAAGTTTAGGATCCCACCCCCTGTTCTACATTTCCCCCCATGAAGATTGGTTTCTGTTTCTTTTCTATTCTTCTCTTCCCTTTCTTGGCACTTGAAGTCCTGCACCTATTACCCTTTTCTATGGGATTGGTGTCCTTTTTACACTCAAAGAATGAGCATAAGTCAGGGTCCCCAATCTAGAGCTTTCAGATGTGTTAGGTTGCTGTCTTCATCCTTCTCAGCCAGCCCTAGCACATCTGGGGGACACCAGATTGAGAAGAACTGGCAAAGGATGTAGAACTCAACGCAGCGTTCTTGGGTACTAAAATGGTTTTCTATCTAACTGCTACTAGGCAGAGCCTTGATTAGCCTTAACAAGTTATTTTCATCAGCATATCTTCTGATACAGCCCAGTTGGGACAGGGAGAAAGTGCTTAATCTGCTTTCCCTAAAGCCTAAATGCCTTTAATTTTGCAGGCTGAAGTAAATTTTCCCTGCCCTTATCTAGTACCTTGCTTCTTTCTTAGCTTCTGATCAGGTTGCTCTACCAAATTCAGTGACTGAACTAGCCATGTATAATTATAATTATTATTGCAAAAACTATTGTTGTTGTTGTTGAGGAAAGAACTGCTGACTGGGTCTCTTTCATTTCAGATTGTCTATGTGACTCTCTGGGTCAATCTTTATTCCATCCTGCAAATCTTTTCTGTAGGACAGTCTTGGAAAGTTGGTATTTTGATTACTCTGGTTGCCCTGGTGGTTGCTGTGATCATCCAAGTCATAATTTGCCACTATCAAAGAAAGGTAAGAAGTGACTGGATCATATTCGATTGCCAATTCCATGATGGATGAACATCTCTTGTACCTCCCCACCCCCCCGACCATGCTCCTTCAGTTTGATGGAGAAAAGAAATTGCTTTTGAGAGAGAGATATATTCATTCATTCATTCATTCATTCATTCATTCATTCATTCATTCATTCATTCATTC